TCTGGTTTGTTTGTTTGTTTGTTTGTTTGTTTATTTATTTATTTGGCGGAACCGGGGATTGAACTCAGGCCCTTGCACTTGCCAGGGAAGTGCTTCTTCCACTGAGCCATCTCCCTGGCCCCATCTTCAGATCATTTAAATCTTTCTCCTTTTACTCAAAATGCAGTATTTCTAAAAATGTTTCCATCTTTTTGAAGTTAGTAAAGTATAGGATACAATTTCATGTCAACTTGGGTTTTTTTGCGGAACCAGGGATTGAACTCAGGCTCTACTGAGCTATCTCCCCGGCTCCTTATTTGTGCTGTATTATTCAGTAAAAATAAAAGCTATAGATAGCTCAGGAGGCAATGTATCTTCAGAATCCTTGATCACTATATAAATGTACTTTTGGGATTTCATAATTTTGTTGTTTCAACTATACCCTACTAGGAATTGGCCCAAGTTTAAACAGAAGACACACAAGAGACAATGTTTCAAACATATAAAGTCATAATCATTTTTTACATGAAAAATGCTTTAGAGTAAAAATAGTTTTTTGTTTAAATTGGTATTAATGTAACTAATACTGAACACCCAAGTGGAATTCTAAGTTGATTCTATTTTAGCCATATTCTTTGAGAAGAAACTTTCTGTAACAATGTAAATAAAAAATAGTCCACCATAACTCTTTTTACATCTTCCCACCTGGGGAAAGGGGGTCCAGAGATGAAAGGAGGGAGGTGGTGTGGATGGGAAGAATAAAACAAAATCAATATATATATATAAGAGCCTACTCTCTAAAACACATGTAAACTTCACAGACTAGAAACACATACTTAAGAAAATGAAAAAATTTTTTAAAAGGGTCCACAAAATGGTGATCTTTTAGACACATGATTTGTGGTGTAGGCCCCTAAACTGAGACCACTTTATTAAATATTACTAAATCTAGAAAGATACTATTTCTTCCACATGCCCACAAGTAACTCATATCAACTCAAATTTTTTTAAGCCTTGAAGAGTTTTTATTTAACATAATGAGATATAATAACTTATATTAAAGACTATGCGGTACTCTTTTGTTTTTCACCAACTGTTTTTATGACGATAACTCCGAGATCTGGAATGTGACCGAAAATGAGAATGTTTTGCTGTTTGTGCTTTAGTTTCAGAATTGGTATACCCTTTGGGAGACTTACAGGGGGATCTTGCTATGGAGTCAGAATGTCTTCCATGTGATCTTGATTTTGCTCCTGAGCTAGTCTGCTTTTGAGGTGAACTTGATTGTGATTCTCCTATTGACTTGGACCTTTTCTGTAAGGACTTGGACCTTGACCGTCCTCTAGAACCCGAATTCCTTCTTGGAGTTCTTGACTGCCGTGCTGAGGTAGACCGCCTTGGGAGTGACTTGGAACGAGATTTAGACTGGCTATAAGAGAATCGCCTGTGTCGAGACCTGCAAATATCCATAGTTAGAGTACATATTTCATACAAAGCAGTAAGTTAAAAAGAAACAGTTTCAAAAACTTAAATGCTGTAGGGGCTGGTGAGATGGCTCAGTGGTCTAAAGCACCTATTTAGAACAAGCTTAGCAAAGCACAGGGACCACGGTTCAATCACCCAGCACCACATGCCAGCCAGCCCCGCCCCCTGGTGGGCTGAGCTGGCCACACACACACACACACACACAAATAAAAAAAAAGTTAAAAAAAAAAAAACTTAAATGCTGTATATAAAGCTATGATTTTACAAGAGAAGCTACAAGTAGCATTTTTTAAATGGTACCTGAGGATTGAATGCATGGATTTGTACTGGCACAGCAAGTGCTTGTCCACTAAGAAATAGCTATTTTTATTATACTTCCATTTGGCTCAAACATAAGTTAACATGCTGTTACAGTGAAATACATGACTGAAAGATTTTTACTTTGCTTGATATAGCTTATAAGTCAGTTCTGAAAAATGTCTTCCATACTTAGTGTAGGTTTAACAGCATTTCAGAAGTACAAAATTCTGAAGACAAAGATTAGAGACAGAAAACAATTAAATTTTATCAAATAATACTCAAAAAACAAAACCTAAACTGGGCATGGTCATGCATCCCTATAATCCTAGCACTTGGGAGGGTGAAGCAGGAGGATTTTGAGTTCACAGCCTAGGTTACTCACATGGCAAATTCAAGACCAGTTTGGATTACAAAGAAGTAAAACCTTGTCTCAAAAGAACAAACAAGGGGCCAGGGAGATGGCTCAGTAGAATAAGTGCTGCCTGGCAAGTGTAAAGGCCTGAGTTCAACCCCCGGTTCCGAAAAAAAAAAAA